GTGAATATTATTAACCTACCATCTGTTTAATAGATCTTCAAAATCCTTGGCTGTAAGGCTTGTGAGTCAAAATTTACGTGGTGCAGATTCAAATGATCCTTATTTCAAAAAATTGCCCCAGGTATTAATATAATTTACTACCTAAAAATTTTCATCATAAAGTTATTTTATTATTAAAAACTTTTTTTTTTATAGGTATATCTCATTCCACATCAAGGATCTACATCATCCACTTCAGAAGGTATCTTGAAGGTTTTTGAAAAGGCTAATAAATATCAAGATACAAGTAGAAAAGAATTTCCTGTAATCAGTGTTGTATTATTGGATGAAGGTGCTTTATTAATTTTTTTACAAAATTAGGTTTGATTTTGATTTATTAAAATTATACTAACATTCTTTAAATATTTAGTTGGGTTGGCTGAAACCAGTCCCTTCAACCCATTAAAAGTACTTCATTCTGAACTTGAGCCAAGCTATCCAGCAGATGGACCAAAAGTTTCTGTAATTGGTATTTCCAATTGGAGATTAGATAATAGTAAAAGTAGTAGAGCTCTATTAGTACAAAGGTTTGTTGTGTTATACTTTATTTGATTTTATTGGTTTTATCAAGAATAAAATTATTTATAAACATATTTTAAATACATTTAATTAGACCTAAATTTGGTTTGGATGACTTAGTTGATACAGCACAACGTTTATTAATAAACAAAAATATTAAAAGAGCAGCTTTAAAACCATTAGCTGTGGCATATTCTGAATATGAACAAAATGGGCAAACGTTCCCAAATTTCCATGGTCTTCGAGATTATTATGCTTTGGTTAAAAGTCTTTCATCAAAAGAAATGACTACTGATAATATTCAAATGGCATTAGCACGTAATTTTGGTGGAACTGGAGAGCATGAAGAATTATGTGAAAAATACTTTGGAGAAGTACTGAATGCATTTGATAATCATCAATTTAGAATTTATAAACCAATACCTGTTTTGAATTTAATTAGGGAAAATTTTGATGATAAAAGTGCGAGACATTTAATGGTCATAGGAAAAAGTGAATCAATAGTAAATATATTAAACTTTGAATTGCGACAAAAACAGTTGGATCCTGTTATAATATTAGGTTCACAATTTCCTGAAGATCAAGATGATTACTCGTATAATATTTTAAATAGGATTATGGTAGGTTCAGAAAATTATTGTTATTTTTAAGTGAGTATAAACTAGAAAATCCTTTATCAGCTTCTGCATACATATCTAAGGCCCAGTAAGGATTA